CAAAATGCCAACTTATATTAAAGCGAGGAAATACAAGATGGAACCACAATTCAACTGACCAATGCGCATTTAGTATTTGTTTTCGACCGAGGTATCGAGGTAACTGGATACTAATCAAATGTTTAACCAGCAAGTGTTGTTGGGATATGTAATCAACAAAATGGCGCCGGGTTCAATTTGTAGTATGACTTGAAAAATGGCCGTTGTTTCATATCCATGAACGCCAAAATATGATCAAAACTAATAAGCTTCTAAGGCTGAAAACGAAAACAGGCCGACCTCTTGATGTTGTCCGGGAACACTATCTGCGGAAAGATGTTCCTTGTCACAGTGAAGTTTGTGCAGTTTGCGAACAAGGTAAGTAAGCGTTTGCAAGCAATGGAAGCTACAGCCAATCTTTTGAAGTTTTTATCTTAGTTACAGCATACTTTAGTTTAGTATCACACACTTTAATTTGTTTTGTTATTTAGGCAACGAAACTTTGCTTTGTAAATCACTGACTCATTACTTTGTTCCTGATTGCCAGGTAAGTTGAGTTTGTTTACCTCACTTTGACCGATCTTGGCCCAAGGGGTCCATGTGTCATTCTTCCGTTCAATTTTCTTCTAAAATTAAAAATTGAAAATTGATGTGAATTTTTGATTTTCGTTATTTTCTATCCTAAAAAATACGAAAGTGCCAAATCAAAAATTTTTTTTCCTTTTGATAGAATATTGAAACATAACTTATGTTTTTACTTTTATCCTGTCAACAATAAAAAGAAAAATGAAAGTGAGCGGCAATTTTGCTTTTCCGACAATGTTGCAGTCTGTGGCATGCGTTAGTTTTTCTGTTTTCGGTGGAAGTCTAAAAATTGAATTTACCGTGTTAGTGGAGGGGTTCATACACACGGTAAATTTTGCCGCCAGCATCATCTGCCCTATGGTCAGGTCCTCTTCCTTGCTTAAAGGGTTGGGAATGAAGTGAGAGTTTAGGTGTCTCTTCATGGTCTTTCATGACGTTTTGGAGTGTCTCCCTCAGTTCTGTCCATTACAGCGAGCAGCCAGTCTTTGGACGTTAGCTAAGAAGTTAAAAAGATCTTAGACTTCGTGTTGGAGCATGTTGAAGCATGTTGGTGCGGGTAATGGAGCCATATCGACTTTTTCACCATACTGTAAGGCTTGGTGACGGAGAGGGAGTTTCTGATACCACCCTCTCCCCAAGGGCCTGCCTGGAGTCTGCGAAGGAAGTAAAAGTTTCATGCTCTTTTGGACTGTCCCTTCACCGACATCATGGCAAGCATTAAAACCTTTGATTTGACTTGGGACGGAAAAGTGCTTAATTTACAAATAGCAGCGGGGGATATGAAAGTTTCGAGGCTTTCCCAAGCTTTTCAGGCAAGTACACATTGTATCTACATTTGGAGTCTTGCAAAATCGCCCGATGACATGACTGCAACAATGCAAAATTAAATAATCTTAAACAAAATTTAGATCGTGTTTAACTGTGGTTACCCTGCGAGCAGTTTTGTTGGGGTGAAATCTTCAACACTGAAAACAGCAAATGAGGAAAATTGTATTTGAAAACGAAAATTGTATGGAAACGAAATTGTTGTACTTAAGGGATGAGTTTGGAGACATGATGTACTGGCTGACTAACTCAGGACAATTTAATATCTTGCACTTAGACGATGGATCTTCTCTTCTTGTCATGGGGGAAGATTTGACCAATTTGCCATCAAACATCCCACAGATAGCTGAACAACATATACAGGGCAATTAAGTCATTTGTTACCTTATGGTGGCTCTCTTACTGGCTCTCAAGCAAGTTTTTCAAGGACACCACTTTTTGATAATGCAAAACAAAAAGGTGGTGCTCTTGCAAAGATTATTCATGCAGAAATAGCACTGTCACAAGAATGTGAAGGGACCTTCTACGTTCCAAGAACTAGTAGCAGATACATTTTGGAAGAAACCGCTAATGTAATCTACGTTCAGTCCAAGGCAAAGATACATTCAACGATTCACCTCTAGAGTTGGTGATCATTCTTTAACAAACGCTGAAAACTGGTTGAGCTGTTCACTATGTTTTGTTAGGAAGGGATTTTCTGCAATAAAACATGTTGACCAAAATAAAGATTCTGATGCTGTTATGTACACATTCAGTGTTTAATTCCTTTCAGTACTGTTAATAAATCATGTTGAGTGTTGAAGACATGTGCTGACTGTTCATTTATTATTGACTGTTCATTTATTATTGACAGCCACGAAAAAAAATGAGCCTTGACAAAAGCCTACAAATTTGCACTAAAAGATGAAAAAGTATTTTGAACTCTGAAGGGTGCTCTTATAGACAGCTATACAAACAAGGAAATGAAGGTAGAAAAAAGAAGAAAATAGCAAACAACAAGCATTTAAGTCTAATAAACTTATACTTACCCAAGCAAGGATGTTCTAAGTGCACTGCTCAAACTCATCATTTGACAGGTGGTTGTGTAAATTAATCCCATTCTCAAAACAAAACCTACTAACTGACCTTGAACTAAACCCTTTCTTGTCGGGAAATCTTTCTTTTGGCAATAAGCTCACCTCAGAGTGTGTTTTTCTTTGAGTTATTACAAGATCCTTAATGTGCTCAGCACTGAAGAAGTTCATGTTTGGAAAAGTGACTGCATGGTAAATACAAATTTCCTGCTTCCTCCTTTCCAGAGAAGTGTAGCATGGGAAGGGAGAGGGGGGGGACAGGGGCAAAAAAAAAATTACTGTGCAAATGGACCCTTCTCCCTCCCTCTTGGGTAGTTCTGTTAACGATTTTGAGTGTTTTGGCTGAAAAACAAAAATGGAAAATTGATTACAATTTTCAATTTTTCTAAGGCATGCCACAGACTGCAACATGGTCGGAAAAGCAAAATTGCTGCTCAGTTTCATTTTTCTCTTTATTGTTGAGAGGATTAAAGTAAAAATATGTTATGTTTCAATATTATATCAAAAGGAAAAAAAAGTAAAAAATTTTTGATTGGGCACTTTGACATTTTGACATCAATTTTCAATTTTTGATTTTAAACGAAAACTGAATGAACAAATGACACACGGACCCTTAGACTTATTAGACTTGTGCAGAGTAAACCTTTCAGCAATATTTCTGTATAACACCATACTTCATTGTGTGAACAGTTCTTTGACAAAAAAAATAATGGTGAAAGCAATAGATTGCATTTGAAACCAAGGCTTTATAGCAGTTTGTAGCTGACTGTTGTATGGAGTTACACCTTTCAAACCTGTAGCCAGCTTAGTCAGAACATTACTTGTGGTGGTCTAAGTATTATGCCCCAACATATCACATGAACCTTCTGAAGCAATGTTTTTCTCTAGGATAAAATTTTTTTCCTGAGGGCCATCCATCAAAGGCGATTCTACAGTGTGAAATAGATGGTAAGAAAGAAAAAATTCTTTGCAAATGGCCACGCTCTGTGAGCAGGCACTGAGCATTTGACGAGGTTTGATTTGGAGTTCAAATTGATATCCCTAGATCCTCAGGGATTTTAGTTTGCAAGAATGTACTAATAGTTAATTACAGGCACTGATGTGATGGTTGGACGGTGAAGGCATTCAAGTTTTGAACTTATAAAAAATGAAAAATTAATAGTTTTGTCAGGAAAAGAACAACACACAAATAACCCAAACTTTGTGGTTAATTTCCTTGAGCTGATTGTTTGGTGTTTTATTTCAGATTTCAAGGCTGTTTCTTGAAATATTTGAGAGTGCAGAACTTCAAAGAGTAATTTTCTTTGAAACAGTGGTTAATTATGTGTATTTTGCAGAATGTAGATGGATATTTTATAGCAGATAGATGTTTAGTTTTCAGAATCAATGCTTAAAGGTATAATTAAACATCACACATAAGAACAAGCAAGTACAACATTTGATGATATGCTTTCTTTTTAACATATTTTATTGTCTTATCACAAGTAAATGTCACTTTCAGTTTGCCAACTTTATAGCACTGAGCTAAAAAGGCCAATAACACATTTACTTTTAGTTATGAGAGAATATTCCTTTACTATATAAGTCAATCAATGCACTTGTCAGTAACGAGTTCTGTGATGGGCTTATGTTGCCAGGGAACCCAGGGAGTCTTTGGAAGAGTGGCAGTGGAGGTGAAGCTATGTTGAGGACATAGACTGATTTGAAATATGTGACCATTTATTTTTTTTTTCACTAAAGATGAGAAGTATGGTCAATTATAAGAAATTTTTAAAATATAATTGGCTTTAATACTGGCTAACTATTCCATGATAGATTAACATGTCTGCACACCTAAGTGTGCACCTAAGATGAAATGTCTTGATGTTTAAACAAATTCTCTCAATCAGTCAAATACGAAACATATGGAGAACAGTTATGAGAAACACATGTTGATATTGGGGGTTAAAGGGATAAAGTGAGTGGCCTATTGGTGTGCAGTTGTTAACGAACAGAAATGTCTCTTTTGTATTGTACATGATAGTTGATCAACTATGCATATCATGCCATAGAAACCTCAAGCTTAGTCCCATTGTTACTGTAGAAATTTCTTTTGGATTCTTACCAGGGGTTGTTTCTTGCAAGGATGTCTCAATGTCAACAAACATTGTGCACAAGATAAAGCATTTGTTCAAAAGTGAGGGTATGCTATGTTTCCTCTGTTGTAAATCTATGATATCATTACATTTAAATGCAGCTTATTCCAGTGCATGAAGTTAGGGTTTGCACTAAACGAACTTGAATACCAAGAGAGGAAGGACTGAGGTCCTTGTAACATAAAGCTTACCTTGAATTATCTCATTTCAAACTGTTACACATACATTTGTGCATATGCTATATTTATTCAGCTAGAAGCTAATCTTGGTAAGAAGTTGAGACCCTCAAGGCTTGGAATCAACCTAACCAGCATGAAAAATTAAAACAAAAACACCAAGCCTATTTTTCAAATAAATTAATTGCATTACACTATTGTTTAACAGTGATTTTCTTCATTCTTAGCAAAGGTATGTCAGACAGTAAGGACTCACTAGACTCTTATGTACTCATCACTGGCGTGGTGAACAGGTAAGCAAGTGTTTGCAAATCTGCAGTAACTGTCAATCATTGGTCAATATTAGACTAATACTGACAAAATGCAACAAAATTTTGACTGAGGCTTCACATAATGCCTTGAAAACTTTGAAATGGAGACTCAGTTGCAGAAAAGAAAGAAGATATCAGAAATGTCTGATAACATTCTGTGTTGTTAGAAATAACTGGGACTTGATAATAGACATGTATGTTTTGAAAAAGAAAATGAAAAAAAATATCTTTGCTGCCCTGCATCCAACCTCATAAACTAGACTCAGTAAACAGGTGTAAAACAAATGAAAAAAAAAAACTCTTCAAAGAAAAGTCTGACTCATCCGTGAGGCTCAAGAATAGGAATGATATCAACTTGAAGACTCCATTCTGTGGAACTTCCCTGAACATTATTTCGGACTTTTGATTGATTACTCTCACAGTACAGTTGTATTTTTTCATTGCAACCTTAAAAGTTTGAATTTACTACAATTTACAATGATTACATACTTTATGTATTTTTATTAATACACCTGTTGATGCAACCCAGTGGGTTTGTACGAACAAAAAAATGTCAACTCAAAGTGCCTCATTCTATTTTTACAGTGTTTAGTTTATTTCGATGTAACT